ATCCCCCCAAAAATTGAAAATAATAAATCCTCCGGTGGTCATTATAATACTATAATCATGCATTTGGTTTCATAGTCATCGTCTTATTATCAAAAGAAAAAGGGGATAAAAAGTTAAATAAATTATGAATTTTTAAACGAAAAATCTCCATGGGAAGTTATGATGGTATTTACTCCGTATGGTATGTAATAAAATGGTATCCGAAGCGCCGGGTGATGGGAAATGGAGTGGACTGGACTGGATAGGAACAGACAGGCACAGGCACAGGCACAAAGGCACAGGCACAGGAACGGGAATAGGAACGGGGATAGATGGGATGAAAGTTTTGGTGGATCAACAGGTAAGTCTTACCTTTGACATTGACATACAGGGTAGATATAGATATGGATATGGCTATTACCACTGATGTCCAAAAAGAAACTATGATATCCTATTTCCCATATCCTAAATCTTAACTTGACTAAGAAAAATCTAAGATAATACTTCATAGGTATGTATATAATAAACATAGAAGGATAGATGGATAGAATTATGGAATCATGAAATCATTAACAATATAAAATATAAAATATAAAATATGATATAATAACCAAAAAAAGAATAATGAAACCCATACAACCATATCTACCTACCTAACTACCTACTCATATAGATAGATATACCTGAGATCTTACCTATCTAAAATCATGATCCGATCCGATCCCATTCGATACGACATATTATGATATGATATTTCATGACATGATACGATACTTCATGATATGATGAACAATTCACCGATCCGGATATTCCATCCCTCCATCCCTCCATCCATCCATGCATCAGGGTCCAGAATCTAAAGATCTAGTTAGGTTCGGGGAGTTTGGGTTGGTGATAGGTTGATAGATATGGAGTCTGTCGATACTAGATAGATAGGGATAGAGAGAGATATATATATAGAACAGAGTAAATACGAGAAGATGAGTTAATACTCATACCCATACCCATACCCATACCTATCCTCATCCTTAACAAGAAGCTACTAGAATCTTTTGATTTCATTTCATTCCGCGAATTTCGATTAAAGATGACTATTAGGTATAAAATTAAGTCCATCTTGTGTTTGCAGAGAGTAAATAGAATGGGGGGAGGGGAGGTAAACATATATTATCTTAGGTAAGTAGGAATACAAAAGTAAATCTGTGATCAATGCTGTACAGTATCATATCGATCAACTTGTGATTTAAAGAACAATTGATGTATTCTTATATAACTCAAACTCAAACTAGGTAATCTTATCCAATCTCCCATCTCCCATCCTTATATAGAATATAATGCTTCCTATCCATATCCACAACCACAACCACAACCACAACCACAACCACAACCACAACCACAACCACAACCACGAATCCAC